CACCCCTATTTGGGTGTGCAAAACCTGGTGCCAGTGTGAACTACTCACTTTTAAACTGGTTTGCAAATCAGTTTATAACATAGTGTGAATGGCCCCTTGCTAGTCTTTAAGGTGCTAATACTTTCTTTTTCACATGAAAGAGGCTATTGGAAGCAATTGTTGTTTTTGTATGCCTTCAAGTAATTTCCATTTTATGATGGCCCTAAGGTGAACCTATCCCAGGGTTGTTGTTTTTTTTTTTTTTTTGGCAAGAATTATTGCCATCCTCTGAGGCTGGGAGCATATGACTTGCCCAAGGCACCCAATGAGTTTCATGACTAAGCTGTGAATCAAACCCTGGTCTCTAGAGTTGTAGTCCAATGTTCAAACCACTACACCACACTGGTTGTAAGCAATACATGCAGGGACAATATAACTGAAATGAATTTTCAGATTAGAGGATGATGCTATATGAAAATTAAATGTGCAAAAAACAACAATCTTTTAGATTTCTCACTTGATTAAATCTGAAAATAAGACCAGGTAACACTTTAATCTACATACATTGTTGCTACAATAATATTGTCCCTAAAACTGACAAGGTGGTAACTAGGGTTGTGCTGAGAGTTCACAGATGAACATTTTCAGGGAATTTTGAAAGGTCTAAAATGATTCTGAAATGCTTGTTCATTTGAGATTCTTTCCCAGTTCTGAAATTTTTAAATTCTTGTTATTGTTGTTTTGCCCCTTTTTTTGCTGCATCCCATTCTCCCAAGGGTTCAACAGCTAGTGTGATATATTTTATAGCTTTTGATTGGCCTGATAGATATATCATCACAATGTACATTTTATATCCATTCAAAATCTATGGAACTGTAGAATGACCATGTTACGTTACCACACTGAGGACAGTATTTACATTGCTCCATGTTGCAGTTGTCACTTTCAGGCATTATTAAAACTTCCAGCTTGAATATGTAAGAAGGACCAGGCCTATGCTTACTACCCTCTCCCCTTCACACAACTAATGGAGCTATCCAAACTAGGTATTTGTACATAAAGCATTAATGTATGTGGGAGACTACTGCTCATATATCTATGTATGCAGAGGACTCCAGCTTACAAATACACATACAGCTATATACATAAAAGCCTCCAGGCTGCTCCAGTCATCAGTGCATGGCACAATATGAGGAGCGATAGGGGTTCAACAAAGAATAATACCCAAATAAACTAAATGGGGTGAACAAATTTTCTACATGTGTGTCAGGGTGGGGCATTTTATGTACAATGGAATAAAAGTCACTACATAGTCAAATCACTACCTGGAAACAACATTTTAATGTGATCTGTACAATATCATGCAATTATTTTTGTGTTTTAAAATCAGAATGCTATTAATGCATCATGTCCCCCATTTTCTTGAGCAGCTGAAATTTCCAAGAGGCCCCATCTTACAGGATCACTTCTCTTCTGAGAGGAAGGTGCTGGAATTGGGCTATGTAATATCTGGTTATCTGAGCAGACTATTGAGAGCAAGGCTATTTGGCTTCAAAGCATATACAGGATCATGCCTCAAGACTGCTTTGAGATAGGTAGCTGCAAAAACTTCATCTTTTAACTAGTGAAATTCAAGCTCCCCAACTGTTTTCTTTCCAGTGCAAGCAGCTTTACTGTTTATAAACTAGTAGCTAGCAAAAAAACAAACAAAACAAAAACAAACTGTAAATGTTTAGTAGGAGCATCTTAAGCTGCTGGCTAAACAAATACAGGTAATTACTTCATTCGACACACATTACACTACTACAAATACAGCTGATATTTTCTAGTGGCCTAGAATTGCTAACCATCAGCCTAGCAAAGATCATTTGAAGTTAGGCTTCTGCCAAAATCTCACAGATGGACAAACAAGCTGTCCTAACAAAACAAAGTCACTGGAGAGGCTGTCTGAAACATCACTGTGTGTAGTTCTGGAGAGAAATGACAGTATGATTTATAGGGGATGAAAAGCTCTTTCACTGACACTCTTTTGGCACATGAATTCTACACAGTGGCCTTTTGCTGCATCCTACACATTTTTTGAAATTCTTTTTTAATTAAAACCATCTACAAAGACTACAACATATGACACCATAAAGTACATACCATATACAAACAAAACAATGACCTATTATCATTCTATCAACCTCCATATAACATATATATACACATTTTGAAAATAGAGGGAAAATAGTAATGGAAATACTAATCAGTATGCCACTGAATTATCGAGAACCCAGATAAGAGGGAAAAGCAGAGACGCAGGCCTGCCATCAGTCCCTACAAGACTAGATCCATTAAGTCAGTGTAATTTACATGACTGTTGACTCATCATTCAACCACTGTGTTACCCAAAGAACAGGTGGAGGACTGTGGGTACCCTACATCTGTCAGTAATACTTTAAATGTTGGGGAAATTAACTTTGTGAAAGGCTTGGGTAACCTTTAAGTTGGGGAGCATCAATATATACCAGTCCTAAATAGGAGGATTCCATGTTTTTGGTAAATTAAGGAATCTGTATTTACACACAAAAGAAGCAATTCCAACATATAAACACACACACACACACACATCATGCAGAGATAACTGAAATGAAAAAGTTAGGGGGTTGCAATGGGGCTAAAACTACCTGTCTGAAGAGGAGATTGTGGAAAGCTAGGAAAGATGGAAGGCTCTGAGAGTGACACAGAACAAACACAGAGTGAGGATGTGTATGTGAGCTTGGCTGTGTGGATAGCAGCTAGGTTTTGAGGACATATTTAAATCTTAAAAGTAGATGAAGGCCAGGTAACTAGGTAACAAAGGCTTGACCCATGTATCTACAAAGGAGTCTCAGATTGGTTAATGGTTTTAACAAAAACAACAATGGTATTGGGAAGGCTAGATGGAGAGTTTGGGCTGGAATTACAGCAGGCAGAGACTAGCTTACTGCTGTAGGTGTGAAGAGCTCCTTTGTCTCATGTTTTGAGAGAAATACAGACTATTTGGGGGAAGGATTAAGCATGTTAAGTTTGATTTTTTTGTTTACTTGGATGTCCACATACCTTCAGTGTCACCTTTTTTCCTGGGAAGCTGACCATTTATTATTCCTGAAAAGTTGTCAATCTCTCAAAAACATGCTATCTCTGAATATGAGATATCAAAATATGAGGACCTCCAAATGCACTGCAGAGTATGCAGGGGTGCATAATAATTGGTTCAATGATTCTATACTGTTTGGAATTACTAACATGATTCATGCCACAATGACACATTATAGCTTCAAATAACTTATACTCTATATTTTAAGCTGACTGTTTCTTTCTAACCATTATGTTATACAAATCCACATTATTGACCACAGAGCCACCAAACCTGCTTCTTGTTGACTTCACTCATCATGATACTGTGGATGAGACATCTCCAAGGCCCATTGTCCTTAACTTCTCTGCTCAAGTCCTGCAGGTGCAGACCCATGTCCTCCCTAATTGATTTTAACCATATGACATGTGGTCTTCCTTTCTTTCTCCTGCCTTCCACCTTTTCTAGCATCATTGACTTTCCTAATGATTCATTTTTTTTCTCAGGAGGTTGCCAAAGTATAACAGCCTCAATTTAGTCACCTTGGCTGCCAGAGAGAGTTCAAGCCTGATCTGTTCTAGGACCCATTTGTCTACCTTCTTGGCCATTCATAATATCCTCAGCACTCTTCCCCAGCAGCACATCTCAAATGAGTTGATTCTCTTCCTATTGGCTTTCTTCACTATCCAGTTCTCACATCTGTACATGGTGATGGGGAATACAATGGTTTGGATGATCCTCATATTAGTGTTTAGAGGTATGTCTTTACACTTTAGTCAAAAATATACAGCAAAAATAATCCAATTTGAGACCACTTTAACTGCCCTGACTCAGTGCTAGGGAATCCTGGGAACTGTAGTTTATTGTGGCAGTAGAGCTCTTGACAGAGAAGGTTACATGCCTCACAAAACTACAGTTCCCAGAATCCCCTGGCACTAAGCTAGGGCAGTTAAAGTGATCTCGAACTGGATTATTTCTACTATGTGTTTTGGACTTCTGTGAACTCATCCAGTTCTTTCATACCTGTCCTTCCCAGTCCTCATCTTCTTTTCATTTCTTGACTGCAATCTCCATTCTGGTCAAAAACCAAAATGAAGACTGTTGTAAGATTTTGGACCTGATCCACCCATAATTTCAAGTGCCTCCCAAACACTCCATGTATATGGAATTAGTTTATTCTATTTTGCTCTAGAATGCACATTTCTGAACTGATTTTAACAAAACTGAAAATTTAGACTTTGGTCTCTATCCCAAAACATTTTGTGTAAGCTTGACATCTTAAGTAAGAGGAATAAGAAAAATGCAGCTTTTTCAGAGAATTGTTGTGTTTGGTTCATTTTGCATGGTACTTCATATGAAACAAATTTAAATGTTTGTAGACCAAAGTTTTGTTTCAATTCATCAGCAAAACTGTAAGTCAAATAATCAGGATCAATCATAAATAAAATAATCAATATCAATCCAGGTAATGTCAGATAAATTTGCTGGTCCTGAATTTAGTTTGGTAATCCCCACTGAGCAGACCCACTGAATAAATGGGCACTTGGCAACTCAACACTTATTTAAATTCCATTTATTTTATATGTCTAATCTAGTTAAGACTAACAAATGGATTGAGAGCAATGTATATTATTAAAAAGAGTTTTATTATGTTGGAGCATGGCTGCATTTATCTCTGTATCTAGGGATGGAAGTGCAATTACAAAAATCTTTAAACAATCCTATCAATAAGGAACACTCCAAATATTAGCAACTGTTGAATTTTCTTTTCATCTGTAATGTTACATGAAGTTAAAAAAAAGAATAATACTATCAACAAAGGGAACAAGATTAATGTTTGGCTCACAAAAAAAGGTGATTGTTGGAATTCTCCTTGGCAAAACCTAGATAATAAAAAATAGGATAAAAAACTAAGGGGGGGTTGTAGACTGCCAGAAATAGTGCAAATTGAGTCCACTTTTAGGGTTAGGGTTAGTGCTAGGGAATCATGGGGATTTTTTTTTCTGAGTCATCGAGCCTTCTCTGTCAGAGAGCTCTGGTGCCACAATAAAATACAGTTCTCATGATTCCCTAACCCTAACCCTAAAAGTGGACTCAATTTGCATATTTCTGGCAGTCTGCAACCCGTAAACATAAAAAAAAAATCACAGTTGACAGATCAAGTTGCAGGTGACTTCTTTTTTCTGTTCAAGATAATGCAACCCCATCCTGGTGCCAGATTTTTAGAGTTTCAGTTAAGACTATGAGGCAAGGAATAAAGGGAAGAGGAGGAGGACCTTAGGAGTAAGGACAGGTTTGTTTGTCTGA